GTGCATTGGCCGAAAGTCCTAGCCCCTCATACCTCATCCGTGAATACCTAGCCAGGCGAACCTCTGAAAAATCCTAAGTTATCCAGACATGCCTCCATAATCCATTTACTTTTCTCCGCGCGCAATATAATCTGGGATGTCTCATTCCCAAGTAGAGTAGGTACCAAGACTACTCAAAACATACCGGGGAACGCCACCTGGAGATAGACCACGGCACCTTCATTGCTTGCTTGTTTTTATAGAACCAGCTGAACTCTCGCAAGCGAACTCTTGACGCCTACAAAGCTCAATTAGTAAAACTCCTTGCCAAAGTTCCAGGATTTCACGTCCATCCCAAAGAACTGTCTCCCAGATTTGTGCACCACGCTTTGCTTCCTCCGGCGGGTGTAAATATCGGCGTGGGTGTGTATTTGGCTACCAGCTGAGGCCAGAGAAATTCGACGAGAGGTGTGACCATTGGGATGAGGATGTACTTGATCGCGCTTGTAGACTTGATGAGACTTAGACAGGATTCAAGCTCTTTGGGAGTGGAAAATTGACGTGGTGGAGTAATTTGGATTATTGCCCCGTGGGCCAACTTGTTCGATATTGCGAAATTTGACTGAACTTGGCTCTGGGAGAATATTGCACTCTCAGGCTTGTAGAGGACACCGCTTTCAGGTATTCAGTCTTGCCCCCCAAGTGCACCTTCTGTTAATATGGAGCTAGAAGCAAGTCAAAGATCTAGAACATTTCCAAGATTGTGGGTCGGACATTAGCTTCAGACAACAGGGCAAGGTGATTATTCCCGAGCCAGCGACTTAAATATGGTGCCTGTGTTGAATTGAATTAGGTCCGGAGATTGGAAGAGTCACATACTAGCTTCTAGTTTGATTTAGAGAGATGATAAAAGTGTTTACTTTACGAAGAAGTTTACTGATATTTCATGGATAGTTTACTTTAAGTAAATTGCCATAATTCTACATGTGCGGCGAAAGTCCCTCTATATATATGAAAGCAGGGTTTTCCGCACACGAGTGTAAGCTCCAACAAACTTCCTTATCGAACCTAAATGGGAAAGTTTGGAGATCCTAAAGTCAATGTATGCCGTGGGGAATCTATTGGGTGATTGCTATTCATGCCGATGGGTGATGATATGGGTTAATAATATGTCATGGCGCCAGTGCATATTATTCTAATATGAGCTGTTTCTCTACTGCAGTCATGTTGCTGCCTTAGTTACAACGTGCTGTAGTGATTGCATGGTATAATGAGTTCCAGTTCGGATGATGGATTGTGAAGTTTCATACCAGAATAACATTCGGATTTTCATGAGTGTTTGTAAGTAAGAGGAGATAAGAAACTCCGGCGCCCAGATTGGTAGCTCCAGGACGGGCATTTTATATATTTATTACATGTAAAGAGAAATTTTTAGGGTCTTGAATAATGAGGAAAAAAACGTCCCCTTTTCCACAATCTAAATTAGAGTTAGGGCGATCTTGAGTGAAAGTAGAATTATGCTTCCTTTCGAAGGTTAATACACAAAGTCGGATATTCCAGTTATCGACAGGATTGAAGCATTCAAAAGAGGAATGCTTGCAAGTGTTTCTCCGTCCAATATTTTCGGAGATGTGAGGTTCTTGAACCAGCAAGATATTTTTATGAGAATTAAATACAATTTAGAGAGTTATTAAGTGCGCGTTCGAAGAGTGGCCAGCGTTAATGGAGAGTTTTCTAATAGTAGAATTTCTGATTTTCAAACATAATGTTTGAATTTTCTTGACGACCATTTAAAGTCAAAACCACATACTTTCAGCCTATCATTAATGGCGTGTCCGTAAATAGGCTTCTGATATTGAATGGGGTTTGCGGACGAGCTTGGATTGCGTCAGTATATGCTGGGATATTTGTCTCAGTTTGATTTCAATTAATTGCACAATGAGCTGCTCATGATCGAAGCCTGGCTATACCAGCTATGCTTCTAATATCGGAGGTTTGTGCCTTTGAGGGTAACGAGTTATCTTTTCTAGGCCGTATAAGGTATTCTAGAAAGTCATCTGGGTGGGGCCGTGACAATTTGCATATTTTGACGGGCAATGGTAGTCTCTGCTAGTGTCACATGATACATTCCAACTCTCAAGGTGTTTTGTCGAGGAGCAGATTCTGTATCGAGGAAAACTGGAGCATGTTTGCTCGTTATGCCAGCCAAAACATTTTACGCGTTGTGGTATTCTGAGTCTTGGCGGCAGACGCTTTACCAGGATTCGTATCCCAGATAGTGGGAGGATATTATGGTTATGAGGTTATGTACGACGTCTTGGAGTTTGGAGCTTAATAGTCTACGGAGCTGAGGGCAGAGTAAGGTGTGGAGATTAAATAAATTAGAATCTATATGTACATATATGTGTATATAAAAGGGATGAAGCGGCCCTATCTATCTCTACAAAAGAAGTGTTCCTAAAACCCTACGCACGAGCCTCGGCTAATCCCTCGCCGTGCCTTGCTAGCCACACTTGGTTTAGTTCACGTAATGTCTCATTGCTTACACACGCCCATCCATATTGTATATCACAACAGAGGACCTTAGATAGGGTTGGCCCTTTAGCATAGAGGATAGTTCAGTTACCCTAAGGAATTCGGAGCTATCGGAGCCGCGGGACTCGAGGACAGTGTAGAGGCCACATTTTTCCGGTCTACTAGATCCTCTGCAACTACTGACGCAGTTATATCTTTCATCACTACCGCACTACTATTATAAATAGTGTTGGTGTGTGGTATCCTAGAGACCCGGTATGCTACGTGCTTGGATTGAGACGAAAGGGAGGTTTCGATATTGCCCATTCGAACGAGCAGATTTTCTCGAGCTTCTGTAGAAACGGGGCAAACAGCAAATCCAGTGTTTGTGGTCTATATCTCATGTTCTAGGTTTTCAGGTAAGAAGGCATTTAATTGCAGCATTATGGCATATGGCGATGTATTTAGAGCTGGGTAGCCAGGTCCGACTCAAACTTATAGGCGATTTTCCTCGGGCTAGATTATTGGCTGCATCTTGAGTCTCGTTTGTACTTGGACCGCTGCTAATTTAGGGCTAAACTGTAGGCGCCGATTTCTAGTAGGGCTGAAGCTATGTTGGCACATAATTTTCGAAGCATTGTCTGTGTATCATTTACATTGACTTTCTTTGGCAGTTTTCCATTAAGTGACCGAGTGCTTACTGTAGCGCAATATGGAGTTTGAGGTCTTTGAGACCCTCTGACTTGGCAATCGAAATGCCGGCGTGCTACAGAGCTGACATCGGCAATAAACTCACTTCATAGTTTTTGTAGGTGTTGTGGAAGAGTGCTCTTACTACTCACTACGTTAACTAGGATGCATGCAATATTTTGAAACATGAGCATGGCTTCATAGTTCCTTGTATCTGCGGCGGAGGCAGTTGACTGTCGGTAAAAAGTATCATATTTGGGCATTATTGTTTGTTCTACATACCAGGGATGTTCAGGACGCTGTATTTTTATTTATCTTTATTTAACGTCTGGCGGATCACGCGTCAAGCGAGTAACCCTATTAAGTCCCTACTGAGACAAAAGACGCTCAGGACGTTGTAAGTGACAAGGATTAGGACAGTAATCATATGATATATTTTATCTATCACGTGATACACGATGTGTATAACTTTCAGGAGCTACGTCTGAGGTCCCTTCGCCTCTTCTGTAGACAATCTTACCAACCATTTTCGACATCGTCATTCTAGCCCTCCCATTTTCATGACACTAAGGACTCTGACAGGGACCCGACTTAAGTCTTTAGCGAGGTGCTAAGAGTAGAGGGAGAGAGAGAGATGCAAAACAGAGACAGCGACAGATATAATTCGAGACACCAGTTAATTTTCTTTATCAGCCGACTTCGTGGCGACACCCAATTTGCATTACTGCGTGGTTTATCAACATTGACAAAAGTATCTGTGTCGACGACTTCTCTCCTCCCTGTTAGGCAGAGGCGTGGGTGGAAGGGAGGTCGGAGGGGCAAAGTAAAGTTGCTGTCAAGGGGTTGTTAAGAGCGTCGAGTACGACGCCCACACCTGCAGGATTTGCTTTAGGTATATCACCCCATGTAACTAAATCACATCATATAATCTCTACACACTGTGTATTACCTGTTGAAGTTATGAGCTAGAGCTAAGATGTAGGTAAGGGCTGAATCAGTGTCGGCGGTTAGACCGCTACAGAAAGGCTTATTTGGGATTTTAGAAGGAAGATTTGAGTGAAAATAGCTGTGTCGAAATGTATGGTTCCAAGTAAACTTACATAAAAGTGAGTTTGTGTGTGCGCCTTTTAATCAAGTGTGGTTTTTGACCAGCCTTTATCAATCTCCATGGGTTGTGAGTTATAATCCCTGTAGGTGTGGATCTATATACATACATATAGTTATCAGCCAGGAATATAAAGCAAAGTACGTGTGAGTTGGGTAATAGGTCCGAGAGTCAATTGCCTATAAACTTTCAGTGGAGGGTGTATTGATTACAATGATATAAGATGGGGACTTTGATAGTCTAATTAGCCAGACCAGCAAGTGTATGTTATTTTTGTTATTCCAAGATAAATCATATTGCAACAGTCCAGACTGCCAAAAGCTGTTAAGTATATTGTTTCATTGGCTACGGATGGCGCTAGTGGAAGAGATCTACAAGAGGGTTGTAGGGGGAAAATGAAAGATTGGCCAAGGGAAAGAGGACGTACGAGTCCAGGAAAGTTATTGACTAAGAAAAACAATTATAATAGTACAATAGATTACACGCCAGCCGACTGGAGTGGCCCTGAGACTCCGACCGATGACGCTATTACCGTATTCAATGAAGCTAGGCCAAGAATGGCTCTGCGTAGGCGAGGAAAATTACAACCCCAAAGCTCCCGTTCCATATCCTCATGCAATCGTGAAATTCGGACGGCCCTAGAATCCGCCACACCGACTGAGACTACGGCGTGTCGATCCAAGCAATGCGCCGACGTGCTGGCTGCTCCGCATTAGATTTGGATCCAAGCTGTCGCAGCGCCCGCGGCTAAACCCAGGAAGACCAACAGGGTGCTCGAGGCTAGTGCCGTGGCACCGCTGACGGTACTCACTTTGGGCGCACTAGGCAGCGTCACGTTGCCTTTGGGCGACATGGGGTGATGAGGACTCAGGGCACCAGTCCCTTGAGGACCTGCATTATGATGCGCCGCAGTAGGGCCTCCGATGGGGTATGTGGTGGTGTAGGTGGAGACGGAGGTGACCTCGCGCCCAATGTCACAATTAGGCACTGCCGGAGGACTGGCACAAGCTGTCAGTGGCAGTTGCGAATTCATAGGGGAAATGGACGCATCATACCAAGAGGTTACAGTGCTAACAATGGTCTTTTCCACCGTCGAGACGCCAAAGGACGTGGGCGTCGGCTCGGGGGGCGGAAGATGGGGAACCGCGCTGGAGACGGGACAGACGGTGGTGTAGAGAGATACGGTTTTGGTGACCACAGATCCTCGTTCGGGGCTTGGTCATGTTAGCATTCATTGAATCTGACTGATGTATGCATTCATACCAAAATGTGACGGCGGGAGCACATGAAGTGACTGTAAAGACTGTGGTCGTATAGATGGTCGAAGTTGTATAGCTGGTGGGGGATGGGTGCAGCGCAAGCGGTGAAATGGGATGAGCCGTGGGCCCGACCCAGGTCCCGTTCCGATCTTCCTGTGCCGCCACAACGGCTGCCGCAGCGACGAGAGATAGGCTAGTGACCTTCATGGTTGTATGGGATGACGGATAGGGCGAAAATTGAGGCTTGTAGGAGAAGGGGAGAGAAAAGGAGCGTACAGAATCAGAGATTCCAAGGAACTGGGCAAGAGAGTAGTGACGGAAGGCAAGAGAGGTGTGTGGTCTGAAGCCGATGGGATATGAGGCTTATATGGGCCACAGATTACGCTGAGGCGTCGTGAACAAGTGCTCTCCTGGCCATGGACAGGACCGCATCCTCAGCGCTCTGCATGACGCGTATGGAGAGTGGAAGTGAGGCCTTTCGAGCCTACCGAAATGAAGGCCCCGTCTCTCGCGCCGCCTGCTCCCAACCGATAGCCAATCCTTTCGCTAAAGGCCGCTGTCAAACTCTCTGGATGCCATGTATGCGGAACGCTCGACGGGTAGTGAAGTTCATGGCCGCGAGTTTTCCTCAGGACTGGTTAACCGGTCAACGTCGACAGTATCAACGACGCCATAGCAAGCCGCACTCTGGCTGACACTACGAACTGCTGACTGTGGGGCGGGAAAGCTCCAAAATTCCAACAGTTCTCCGCCGACTGTGAGGCAGCTCGATTGTCGGTCTCTCCCAAGCGCACTCATGCATCGCCAGCTCGAACGAGTGAGTCTTTCCCATCAGACTCTCGAGAACACATGTGTTATGGAGTCATGGCCTCCATGCGAATGTCCTAGAAAAGATGACGGCACAGATGGGAGTTGCCATAACATTTGCTCCCACGGCCCACCCACGACTTGGCTTGCTTCCCTCGTCCCAATCGGCTTACTACGAGCAGTCCAGGCTGTCGGATGAGTTGACGCGACTCGATGGAGTGAAAAAACATGCTAAACCCCGACTCATTGCTGTAGTCGTTCTTATTACGTACCACACGGCTTGGTAGGGACCTTCTCGACGGCACACCCACTTCTCCCTGCTATTGTGGACCGAGAAGGGCCGAGAGTCTTTGACTTAGAGTGTAGTGGAAACAACGCTTCAGGACATGGAAGAAAATATTTGTGGATTCACCGGTCATTTACAGGCCAAGGTGCCTGCTGCCGTCGATGATCCTCACCATAGAATTTGTTAGAGCAAGCGAGTTCGCAATACCAAGGCCTCATCACTCGACTCCCCATTGTCCCACCCGCGAGGAAATTTGACGCGTAATGACCCCGGCAAAGCTCTGCGCGCGAGAATCTGGAGCTTACTACTCCTCCCCCTCATGGCTACTTCAAACTCCCATGGGCCAAGGGCTGATCAACAGAAGCCACGAAATTTTGTTGAAGTAGTCGGATTGAACCATGATTCCAACACACGACACAACAGTCCCTCGCGTAACTCATTCAGTAGGGCAATCAATTTAATTCTGTTCTATTCCGGTGCGCGCACAGGCACCTGGCGGGCTTTTAATTAGTGTCTTCCCCACACCGTCTATTTATCCGAGATGAGACTAGCCTTGGCCCGAGACTCCACCACGTCCAAGCTATCTAAATTGCAAGATTCTTGACAGGAATCATGTTTGTCCCTAAGCATTGATTGTTTCATTAAAGCCTCGACGCTGCCGGATCCCCCTACATTCCTCGATCACCTTGCCTTCGGCAGGTCGGGAATATTTCTTCTCGAACCTCTTTCATGCACAGGGTGAGGAGAGGTGTTTGGGTCTTAATTGCACTTGTTGCTCTCCAACCAGCAATCATTATCCCGACCTTTCATCCGCCTACCGCTGAACCTTCCCGGGAACCCAAGACTTGAGAGCAAGTCCCGAACCATCCACAACGACACCGGAGCACAAAACAATGAGGCATTGCAGAGACAAATTCGGTAGTCCCAAGCGCGGCGACAAGGAAGCTAATCTGTACTTTAGATAATCGTTCCCTCAGATCCTAAGATTAAGCCCCGATAGAGGACTCCACTCTTATTGAGAAGACAGCGGAACGATTCCTCTATACTTTCATCAATTGTCATCGCACCGCTAAGACGTCATATTCAAAATGCCACACGAACCCTTTCAGTCGAACCCCACAACGTCAGCTCGTTCAACTATGATTCCAAATGAATTCTCCCATCTAACCTAATAGTTACTAGTGAAACGTATTATAACTTGAGAAAACGCTGAGTGCAATCCCGTCCATATGTCCCCATGACACCTTCATTCTTACCCGACCTACATGATGCTCTTACAGGCTGATTATGCATACGCAACAGATAAAGATGAGCTAAGAATTCATCGAACAAAATTAATATCATCATAGTCCTTGTATTGCGCGACACGGTGTAGAATTTCAATCCTACCTGATTGTACTAGACGATATCCGCCAATCTTTAGCTCCAGGTGATCGATAGGGCTGTGTGTTTGGGTCAAGATCTAGCACGGGAGGCAAGTTGGCCACTGATTTAGATCCCTCCGAACAGTTCCTCACCTTCGCCCGCAACTAATCTCCGATCCTCGGACAAGTAGGATGGGACCAGCTCAAAACTTAAAAGCTAAACTATAGGTTGCAGCAACTATTTCGTATCAACTATCTAGCCTCTAATACTGAGGAATCATAGATTTTTTATGCCGCACTATTCTGACAGGCAGTGCGTACAGCTGATTTGAGTCACACGTTGACAAGACTCCACGATAAGGTGTTCCAACCCCTATTTAGATTTCTATGGATTTCGTTGCAGCGTGTCTGATGACCTTTTGTACATGCCAGATCGAAGAGTCAAATGAAGCCCTGTGCCAATAAACTTTCTGCGCTGTATACTATGCTAAACAGTTAGCTTTCTCACGAATTCCGCAAAGGACTTTAGATATTTTCCAAGATGCACTCATTGGCATAAAGATTCCCATTACGCCTACAGACTTTGTATTTGTCGAAGAGTGACTCATATTTGCGTTATCTGTGGATGCTGTGTAGACAGAGCTGCATTTTTTGTAGTCGCAATGTGCTTAGATGGAAATGATTTTGGTTGACAAATTTTAAAATTCGAATACATAACAACTTCTAGGCCATCCTGTGAGGTTTTATTGCATTACATTGTATTTTTTTCGACCAAATTTTGGCAGAAAAGTAAAATAAGGAGTTTGGTCTACCCTCCAACCTTACCCAGCTCATGCATTTGGCATAGTCCCCTTTAGCAAGCGGGTATAAGCCGTAATCGCCCACCTCACCCATCATGTAGGACTCGATATGACCGAGGCAGACGGAGTGTGGGTTTTTGCTGGTCAGTTTATGATCAAATCGACTTCATGTGGGTATCTCGTGGCCCCGAACAATCAACAGTATCATGTGAGCAGAGCTCGAGACTAAAAGTTCTTGATTAGTTATTCTAAGATGCAGCTTCGCCAAATTATTTAAATGTCCCCCCGCACCACGTGAGCCTATCGACGGCGCGCAATGGTTAGGTTGTTGAGGAGGTAGAGTCAGGGGAGTGGTAAAATACGGAGGGTAATATATGGTGTATATTTATGAATTTGATTTCATTGTCCTGATTTGGCGCGCCATGGGCCCATACAGGTGTAATTCATACTCTCTAATCTAGATGGGAGGAAAGCTATTGGTGAAACCCCCCCAAAGCTTCCTGTTTATTGTCGATGTTTTTCTACTGTATCCTTCGGGAAAAGCAGTTAGACTACATTGCCCTCCATGTTAACCGACTACATCTTCTGTAACGGCCCAAGTAATACTTGACCTGTTCCTTTCCCTCAGCAGTATTTCGACAGTCTTTGTCATCTGGAATTGCTCTATCCAGCCATGATTTAGGATCCACTGTGTTATCCTTTTAATATCTCCAGGATTGCTTAGCATAGCTTCGTAGGACCGATTTTTCGCTTGTCTCCAGATCTCTCCTCTTCCATTTGACCATCGAGGGCAGGATATAATCATGTGCTTGGGGTTCTGCGATTGGTAGCTACATGGACAGCTTGGAATGTAGACCCCGGGTACTGTTCTTCTATGTAGATATATGCGGTGTATAGAGAATTATGTAATGTGCTATAATTATGCCGGGTGGTGGGTGTAGGTTGAGTGGCAAGTGTATGGACGCTTTTAGCCTAGCCAACCAGCTGACTAAGTTGCATTTCACGACAATAATCGGAACCCACAAGAGTATCATAGAAAGCGTATCGCCGAATTAATACTTTAAAAGAGTACCGCTGTATGCCTGGGCACGTTGTAGTAGAGTGCTGGCTCTTTCGGCTCCCACCTCAGGAAAGAGACCAGAGCTCCTAAACACTCAAGTTTTATGGTATGAGGCTTTTACTCCGAACATCTACAAACCCCAAAACATAGATTTACTAGGCAGAATGTTACATTTATCCAGTGGAATCTCCACCGAATTTTCTGCGTCGGTCTCATCGAATCACACTGTGGCGGGGAGTCACTCGAATTTGGGTACTCGTAAAACGTGATTAGGGACGTGCCTTGTCAAGTTGCTATTTTTGCGAATGGACACAGAGTGCTTTAAACGTACGAGGCCTCCATTTCGTCTGGGTTCCCGACACGGTCTTTTGTGTAGTTGAGGGACTATAATGAGTTTGATGGCAGCGCTTCAGGCTACCTAATGAATACATGAGCGGCTGTATGGCGCGGGCGCAAGGGGACTTATGGGCGCTACAGTAGGATAGCTTCTGACTCGGAATCTGCATGGATAAACCTACGGCACAAAGCTTCCCCGCCTCTGGCATTCATCTGAGCGTGCCATTCCCTCCGCCAGCTTCTTTCCCTCAGGGATTTCCGGCCATTTCATTGCGCAGCAATTTCAACCCACTCCCCATCATGTCTCTCCAGTCTTTCAACCGAGCCTCGATCTATCTCAAGTTGCCAATAATAGTCGGCATGAAAGGATCCTTGCAAGTTATTGAGTGTTTCCAGCTCCTTTTCATACATCATCGAATAAAGATTTGGGCCCGGCCAGGGAATATCTTCACTGGCTGGACAGCCTTCGTCGGGGAACGGACGCTGAAATGTCATCCGTGAGATATTTATGCAGAGGCTTCCTCTGTATAATGGTTCCTTGGGATTTATTGGATCGTCAAAACATCACACATTTAAAAGAGATGGCACTTGTAAGCGTCTTTCCAAAGCAACACATCCCGTACATTTGTTTTGGACTTTGACAGAGTGCGAATGGATTTGAACAACAAGACCTCATTCGTTTCGCAGGACTTAAA